GCAACAAGAACCACAACAACAGCAATAGTACCACCACCACCACCACCACCACCACCACCACCACCACCACCACGACCACGACCACGACCACGACCACGACCACGACCACGACCACGACCACGACCTCGACCACCACCACGACCACGACCACCACCACGACCACGACCACCACCACGACCACCACGACCACGACCACGACCACGACCACGACCACGACCACGACCACGACCACGACCACGACCACGACCACGACCACGACGTCGACGACGAGGAGGACAAGGAGTACATGCAGGACAACAACGACAACTGAAAGAGGGAACATAATAACAATAGCGATGATATTGGCAACAGCAGTCATGGTAACACCTACACAAACAGCAGTCATGACACCCAGTACGGTAAGCAGCGTGAGGAATAACAACATTACCGGCAACATGGCAACAATGGCAGTACTTGTTCTTGGTTCTCGTCTGGCGGCATATTACTAATCGTGCTAGCAACACGGAGAGCACTACCAGCGGTAGCCAATGCCACTCGAAGAGCTCCGTGATGTTGGCCCAGGCCAAATAGATTTGAGCACCAAGCCCGAAGCATGCATTGCAACTTGAAAAGTTACGGTTTTTGAGTAAATGAGGGAAGTCTTTACTTGGAGGTTCATGGGTAGTTATAAGTAGGGTCATAAGTAGGGTAACTATAGTTATAACCCACATTAGGGGACCTATGACCCTACTTATAACTACCCATGAACCTCCAAGTAGTGTTCACTGAACGAAACTTCCAGGCTCTGCCCTTCCTGCAACATAGCGCCTGCATTGTCACACACGACATTTGAAGCCACTCCTCGGTTTGGGGTCCTTTGTCGGAAAGGCAGAACAATGATTCTTTATTGAATTTTTTATGGGCTCTCGTCTCATTCTTAGGAAACCCAAACCACGCAAAAGAACACAACAATCTCTTCTATAAGCCCTAAACTCTAGAGTACCCTTATAGATCCCTTCTAGGACCCCTTCATAGTTCCTGTAGAGGATCCCTCAGACTGATCAACTTGGAGGCTCCCTGAAGCGAGCTGGCGCCGGCCTGCATCCATCGCTCGGTGCAGCTTGCGGGGACTGGCAGCCTCAGGTCATGGCCGCTTTCACGTCGCAGCGTTATATACTCTATTACATACATATATGCTTATACTAACGTGTATATATACACACACTATGTTTCTGTATTCTGTGTGATTGAACTTTGCCAGCTGCGGTCAACTGCAGTCCGGAAGAGGGTATGCCGTCTTGACACGGCGCTGTGCTGGCCTCAAACTGAAGCTCGAAGTTGGTAGAAACATTGGCCCCGGTACATTGTGGCCTGTTTTGTTCTGAGTTCTTTCATGCCACAAGTTGCTCCATGCTGGAGCGGTCCGAGCAACCTGCGACCTGTCGTGACCGAGTTGGGTCTTCCGGCTTCCGGGCGGGGGAGGTGAAGCCCAAAATGAGAATTAAACATATTATGGGGGAAAAATATTTTTTCCCCTATAATATATGTTCTGTTGCTCGCGGGCTTGTCTTGATGCGGCGACCTACATGCCTACATGTCTGCCTCTGTGCCACAGGACCAAGAGTCGGGAGTGGGGTATCCACCGAAACTAAGCCGCCCCGGCAGCTTTTCAGTCTTACCATGCTGGGAATTTGTGCAAAAAACGAGCCCATCCTGAACCTCGAAAGTCTCCTTACTGAAGAATTCGCCCGAGGGTCCGCGATAATGTCAGCCGTCCTGGAGGCTCGGAGGAGATCCTTGGGCTCAGGATCCTAAATATCAGCCACACAAAGGAACTATAATGGAGCCCTAAACCCTAAACCCTAAACCCTGAACCGGGCGGCATGTGCCTAAAGCCTGCACGTTCGATTCGGCAGAGTCGTTCGTATATATCTAAGCCTAAGCATGCGTGTGTACTTGTGTATGTACGCACATAAGTGCATGTATGCATGTATGCATGCATGTATGTATATGTGTATGTATGATGTTCGTATGCACATACATCTTCATATGTACATATATAAACACATAGAAATATACACATGTCCAAAACTCCGTGTGTACACGCACACATGTGTGCACATGCTGACATACATAAAAACGAACGAGTTGCCTAAACTGAAACCGAATAGGATTGGATTAACATGTGCCAGCACACACGAACACAAACACGCAAACACACACAGACATACGCAATAACAAAGTTAAACGTACATATATACATATGTGTACATATACATAATAGGTAGCCGACCCTATAAATGCAACGGGCCAGTACACACACGTGTGTATGTTGTCATTCTGTTTTGGAAAACTAAATCTAGGCAATACAGAGACGTACGTGCGTACACTTCTACATCTCCATCTACTTCTACACTGCACACCCGCATAGTGTACAGATGCATACCCACATGCACATGCGCAACACATACACATGTACATACTCATTCGTACATTGTACATATGCATCATAAAGCCACGTGCAATGCTGATCCTTCCTCCCCACATCACCAAATCTTTCGATCAGTCGATTAGTTTCATGACTGTCTTTAAACTTCAACAGCATAACTCCTGTAGCTATGATTGTTGCTCTCCTCACCCCTGCAACGAGGGCTGCTACTCTCGTTGTTTGCTGTTTCTTGATCCCAGTGTTCAAAGCTTGTGGATGCTGGGACCCTGCAGCCACCAGTGCTGTGCCAGCTGCTGAACTGACGACCGCCGCTGCGCGGCCGAGCACCCCCAGCCGGCTCAAGGCATCCGCAGTATTCTGCGAGCAATGAGAGCGGGAGCTCCTTCTAAACTACAAGCTCTCAGTAGTAGTTGGTCCGGATTCTCGACGTTCCCTCAACCGGCTGCGGTGACTGCACTTGGCCAGTATAGTGCTCGATGAACTTCCGAATCGGTCCGGAAACCAACGAAGAACAGCTACAATAAACAACAGTCACAGGGTTCAGGCTTTTGGTTCATGTTGACGATAACCAAGCTGCCGGTAGCTCTGACAGCAGCAAATCTTCAGAATAATCATCGCATTGGTCTCAGTAGCGTGCCTCGGCTTGGACCTTGCCCACTTCATTGAGGTCGATGTCAAGCCTCAGTCATCTTTCGACTGCTGACTGCTGCTGCTCCTGCGACTACATAGCACTACTGCTAATTACTGTCCTCCTCCTCCTCCTGCTGCTGCTCCCTGCTTATGAGAGCATCACTGCTTAGAAGCTATTTTGGTGGTGATCCTTCCTGCCGAGTAGCTGCCCCTGAATGCGGCGCTCTGCATTCCAGACCTCGCACGCAGAAATGCCACAGCGATCGGTCGGATTGGAACTGTGCCGACATCACACTGAAAAGCCTTTAGGGCTCCTGGCGATGATCGACGGAAGCTGCAGTTTGTAAGTCCGAAAAACCAAACGATGCTCCGGAATCCCCGATTAAGCGATAAGAATTTGCAGTCCAGGAAGCGGTTTCACCGTGCCTCGCATTCCAGGGCACAAAAAGGGACTATCTCTAGTAGTAGCAGTCTCGGCAACTGGGTCAGGAAATGTGCCCACTTCTCGATTCTTAGGCCACGACCGGATGATGTAGAGCCTGGCAATGCGCCAGAAAGCTGAACGGCCGCTTGCATTCGGAAGCAGCCAGGGTCTGCCAGTGTGAACTACAAGCCACTCCCAGTGGTGAGGCTACTGATGAACACATCACTTCATGTCCTACTCGGTCCTACTTGCGGCTCCTGTCCGTGTTTGTTACTTCATGCTCTACTACAGCTGATATCGAAGGATGCGAAGCATCGGATACCTCGAGCCTGTGACTCTTGATTGATGACGGCTTCACACTACGGACTCGTTACAGTGCTTCAACGCAGCTGAACGCAGAACCACAGGCCTTGAGACTCACGGGCTTGAAAGTGCCCACAACCATGGGGCCCCCTAACGGCCCCTAACCACCCGATCTAGGAGACATGTTCCAGGAGGATGCACCTCGTCTGCTTCTTTGTGGCGGAGCATAGTTGCGACACCGCGGCTAGACACTCCATGGCGCCAAGGTGACGTGCAAAAGGCGTGTTTGCTGGGCTACTTCAACAGAGATCTTCATGCAGAGAGCTCAGCTGATGGAAATCATCTGCGAATGCCTCGGTGGGATCGCGATGCAGAAGCCTGAGCCTGACGAACCAGCACGGGAAGCGCTCGGGCTAGACGATACCCAGCCGCCAGAGTCGACGTGGTGCCAAATCTAGCTATATGGCATACGTCGTAAGCATCTCCCATCATCATCATCATCATCATCACGATCATCAGAGGCCGCCCGAGAAGTTCGCAACAATGTCCCGTAACAGCCTTCTATTCTCCAAACCCCAAGGCTCACCAGCCAAGCCGATGCTTGAGGCCCCGAGCTGACGAGCTTGGCCAAAAGCCGCATCTCTGGCTCGTCCGGCCTTCATTTCAAGGATCCTATAGGAACCCTAAGCCCTAAACTAGGGGCCGTAGTATTTAGAGTAGGGCAGGGTTTTGGGGTATGTTTTGGGGTAGGACTGTCCTACCATTATTTTTGCAAAGAAACCCACCAGAATAGTGAGGGTAATTGTTTAGGCCCCCATAGTACACAAACTGGCATTCCGGCTGCTTTTGGCTCGACCAGTCATCACAGTCTTTGCTTACTGGCGCACGTCGGATCGGATGTTGAGGGTCTCCGGTGGATTGAAGACTCCAGCTGTTACAGCTGTCTCCAGTGAGAGGAAATGCGACACATTGCTCATGCTGACGACGACGGCTTTCTTATCCTTGTCGCTGCCAGCGAGTAGCCATGGACCCTCATAGCAACCCGAACCCTTATACAACCCAATGAACGACTCTTGGGCCTCTTCCCAGGGTGGACCTTCACGGCACAGATGGACACCTTGGAAGCACAAGGATCGACACACTTCGCGGCCGTCGTGCCCTCCCAGAGAGGGCTCAATCTTGATGTCGTGCTTTTCATGCCGAGGATCTTTGACGTAAAGTCTGTATTTACCCTAAACCCCAAACCCTAAACTCTAAAGGTACCCATAGCATAGTGTAGTGGACTCTAGTAGACCCTAAACCCTAAACCCTAAACCCTATGTTGGGTAACCCCCTAAACCCTAAACCCCTAAACCCCTGAACCCAAGTTGGGTACCTACAGTTCTGAGGGCTGCTCTGGGGCAGCTTTGGCCGCTTGGACGGCGCTGAAGAGCCGGGCGTTGCCCCCGAAGAGGCCAACGGCCTCCGGCGAGGCTTTCAAAGGTTCTTTACAGGGGGTTTAGGGTTTAGGGTTTAGGGGTTTAGGGTTTAGGGGTTTAGGGGTTTAGGGTTTTTATGGGCTACAAAAAGGGTTCTATGAAGGTTCCACAATGTCACAAGGGAGGGGCACTTTGCAAGTCCAAGACTAGGAATTTGGGCATGGGGAGTTATCAACTTGGGGTTCATATTTAGGGTGCCATTTGCAGGCATTTTTTTTGTTGTTGTGCTTGTTTTCTGTTTGGGGTTACAACGGGTTTGCAGGTTAGGGGGTCAGTTTGGGGGCTTAAGGGGTATTGGGGGTTTAGGGTTTACAGGATGTCCTTCGGCTTGGGATTCCGGTTTAGGATTTGGAACCGTAGCTTTTCCGGTGATGCAAGGACTGCATAGCAGTGCGAGCACTGTGTCAGTTTCTTTTGACCTTTTGCGGGGCCTTGTGAACTACTTGCTTCGTCATGCTGTCCCCAATCCCTGAACTGTAAAGCCTCTTGGTTGGGTGTTGGAGGGCTGTGCGGGATGCTGCCTGATGGCGGGCTTTCCTGAATTTTGCTCAAACTGCTACTCGCAACGGAAGAGACAGGAACAACAGCAGCAACAATAGATGCCATCGCAATGAGAATGTTATGGTGAGTCAGACACAGCCTCTTGCATAACAAAGACATTCTTGACACAACAACAAACCAGAGTTAGCTAGGGTATTGATCATGACAACCTGGAGTCGCAGAGCTAGTTTCTGTGTCAAATGTTTATCACGACTACACTGAACATGAGAATTGCAGAAACCTGCTTAACGCTTTTGAGCTTCGCCGCTGAACGCCGGATAGACTCTGCAAGCAACAGCAAAGAGCCAGAGTCTGCAGGGAATGAGCATGCTTCTCGTGCTGTCTCCGTGCATGCGCACGTTTCCTTGCTTCGTCAGCCGATCGGCTCCTGAAACACACAGGTCCAGTAGCGAAAAGCATTCTCTCGCAAGAGAGTCGAAGAGTATCGAGGCTCTACGCCGATGCTTCGCCGCTTTGGGCTACAGATGCTCAAGGCGGTGGACGGCACGAGCAGTTTCCAGAAGCATGCCTTCATAGCCTCCAGGCTGCAAAAGAGTTTAGGGTCTAGTGAGCTAGGTTTGTGCATTTGATTTCGGTCTGTGTGAACGTGCATGGTTTGCGGCTAGAATGCCGGCACTGAAGCTTGTGTCAAGCAGAAACGAGCAAACGGACAAGGCGTGTGCGCTCTTTCGCAGGGCAACAGGGATGCCCATCTGCTCATGGTCCACTAGCTTTGTCACGGTGCTGTCTCTCGCTAATATTTACTTCGTATGTCTACATACAATGTACAGAGATGTCTGCGCACATCAGACTTTTATACATCTTTGTGTATAAGCTTAAGCATTGCTGAGCCACAAAAACAGTAGGCTGAGCTGACATATTAGAAACCCGAGCTGCCGCTGCCTCGTGCGATACACAGAGGCGGACACCGTCGGACTCACAAGCTGCATGCCCAAATCGCATAGAACCCCTTAGACAAGGAATGAAGTCTAAACCATGGCAAGAAGCCCGCTGAATACTATCAGGTATATTCCTCAATGAAGGGATTTTGGACACGCCGTGTATGCATGCCGGGGGGCCGAGGTGCGCCCACTTGGCATCGCTTTTGCCCAGGCACTTGCTTGGCGCACGGCATTCCAGGAAGATCCTGCTGAGGGATGGACGGATATAGGGTATGCATATACGTATGTGTATGACATGTATGTAACTGTGTATATATTTATATGTATATGTATTTTTATGTGTGTATATATATATATATGCTGGTACGTATACTTATATAGATACATATGCGTATGCGCATATATATATATATATATGAATATCTATATGCATGCGTTTGCGTGTATATTTGTGTGCAGATCACTGTGCATCCATCCTGTACAGATATGTACATGTAGCTTGCACACGCAGAGCTGTACAGAAGTGCAGGAATACAGATGTATGATAAACGTAATCTATTGCGGCCAGTTGCAGTATTCTCCAAGGGGAGCTGCACAGTGTGCCAAAGCTTCACGGGCACCCGAAACCTCGACATCTACCACCTCAGGGTTGAGAACCCCAACTCTGATGCACACCAGCTGAAATGTTAGAATGCAGGCGGGAGTTTGCCACTCTCAGTTCTCATCCCACTTTGGTTCCTTCTAGTGGGTCCTAGCGCTTCGTGCTAGGATAGGCTAGGTCCTTAGCTAAGGACCCTAAACCCGGTGAAGCGACACCCCACTACGGGACCACACTACTACGCTTCTTACTCTCATTCTCGTAAGTAGTCTTACCCTGTTTCTCACGGTTGTGGTTCCAGTTCTTCTCTGTCTTTTGCATATTAAATATAGTAGTCTCAATATTCCTTCTTAGTCTTATGATATTATAGTATTCTCGATATTCCTTCTTAGTCTTATGATTGTCATTATGAAGGGAGGCACCGCAGGCCTCGGCTCCTCAGCCGACAAACGCCACTGTCCCATGGAGCGCCACAGGGTGCGACTGAGGCTCGCCTGCACGGTTTAGGGTTTAGGCTGCAGGATGTTGGGTTCAGGGCCTTTTTAGGGTTTAGGGTGCAGGATGTAGGGTTTAGGGCTTTTTTTTGGGTTTAGGGTGTAGGATGTAGGTTTAAGGGCTTAGGGTGTAGGAACGGCGTACGATATCGGGTTTGGGGCCTCGTAGGGTTCAGGATTTAGGGGTTCAGTTGCTGCCGCTCTTCATGGCGTCGTTGTCGCCATTGCTGTTGTGGTCACACTCCTCAACATCTGCTTGGGCAGAACCCCACACGCAAGTGGCTTTGCAAAGCTCAACTCACAACACCCTTACATATGGACTCGCAGCATGTCGCGGCATAAAGGGAAGCCAATGCACAGGCCAACAGCGGTGTAACACATGGCCTTGGAAGTTGGCGAATCATGGTCGGACATCAGATCCTGACCTTCGTGGACCCGAACGGCTTCCAGGCTCATTGCCGAGAACAGGCATGCAGGGTGGGAAGAAGCTGCCCGAGCGAACATGGTTTGGTGGAAGTCACAGCTTTGTGGCGGACTGTCAGGCTTCGCCGTTTCGTTCCGTTCCCATGTTCCTGCCTTTTTGCACGCTACAAGCATGATACGAGCACAAACCATAGGATGTTGCTGGGTTAGGGTGGGCATCAGCTGAACTAGCAACTGCAAAGCCATTTCGGCCCCCGGTGCTCCTTCGGGTAATTTTCCATGGTGATGGAAAGAACCAAACAAGGATTCTAATTCGATTCCGCCTGCACCTAATGTTTCATGCCCCGCAGTCCAAGCATCCTCGAATTACTGGCGAGCTTAACTGCAGTGTGCTGTGAAAATCATTGTCTATGTAGTGCTCCGTAGAAAAGCTTTTCGGAAGCTGACGTGGAATCAAGCGTCCAAACATTCGGCTTTGCGGAGCAGTTGAATCCATTATATGCTTAACAAGCTGTTTTCGGACTAGTCTGCTGATGACGCCACCCACGCCCTCGACATATGGGGGTTTCCGAAATCAAGGGACCCTAATATAGTACCCTAAATAGTAGGACCCTTATTACAAGGACCCCCAAAGAAGGTAACCTTTATTTTCGGAAACCCCTCCATATTATAGCGGAACTTAGGAAAGGGATCCTGCCGGCTCAAACTTCTCTCCCTTGCTCTCTCTCGCTCTCACACCCGTGCGCTGAGCTTGGACAGAAACAGAGCATGCACGCATACATATATATATATATATGTATATATATATATATATTTATATATATATACACACACGTATATGTGTGTGTGTGTGCGTATATACAGATATGGAGAGAAGTACAAAGGGACCATACCATGGATCAAGCACCTGTCGCGGTAGATAAACAAGTAACGAATATGTAAATGCCAATAAGCATATGGATGCATCTGTATATACATAAACACACTTATATATATATATATATACACATGTGAACATACCATAGACACATGTACAACAACATAAAGCTGCATATCTGCATATACTGTGCGCATCTCAACTTGCGTATGTTAGCAGACCAGACACTGTCATAACCTACTATCATATCATATACCATCTCACATAGTAGGTCATATACCATATCATATACCATAGCACATGCATGTTCTATCTGAAGTCATATTATGTCATCGCGTATATAGTGCTATGTCTTACCATGCCAGACCATACCCTATAACATATCCCCTCGTACCCTACACATGGATACTGTGACACTGAAACCTGCAAAACGCTCTGATCATAAAGCTCCTAAAGGTTCCCTGGCGACTCTATCCGAGGAGCCCAAAGATGCGGCTTGCAGCCACTGCCGCGCACCTCAGTTCTTGTCAAGGAATTTGGTTTAAACTATCATCACAATAAGAAGGAAACGAAATGGGTAGTTCTCTAAATTAGGGTCCCGTTTTGGGCCATTTTTATAAGGGTGCCGTACTATATTGGGGGCCTAAAAAGGAACCCTAATTTACAGAACTACCCAAAACGAAGCTCAAAACAATTCCTTGACAAGAACCCTTTATAAGCCCTATAAACCCTATAAACCCTGAACCCCAAGATTCCTTAACAAGAACCCAGGCACTGGGCGCCATCCAGGCGCCGCCGGTGGCCGGCCGCTCGGCGTTGACTTCGCAGCGGCGGCCTGGCGAAGGTTTGGGGCTTGCGGGGATCAGGACTTTGGGGTTGTAGTACTACTGTACTTATAAGCAAAATCAGACCAGCAATAACAATAATCACAATACTAAAAACACTTTTAATACGAATAACAACAATAATCTTAGCACTATGAAAACTAACACTAATCATAACAACAGCACTATGTACGGTTCTGCGCTGGGGGCTTTAGGACTTGAGGCTTCAGGGCCTTCGAGCTCTAAGGTTCTAAGGTTTTGGCTCTGGTTTATTTAGGTCGTTAAGGGTTCAGGGTTCCTTTGGGCATGGTAACATGCAGGAGACGCTCGAAGCTATCGCCTGCAGGCTTAGAGCCTCGTGGTGTGGGTGGGACTTTGGGGCATCGCCCTACAGGAGGACCTCGTAGGCGATTGTCGATCTGCTCCCGATTTTTGTGGCTAAGCCTCGGGCAGGTTTATGGACAATCCACACTCGGCGATAAAAGTTACAGCACCTGGCAGCAGCCAACATGGTCTCACACCTGCACCCCAGACTTCAAGTCAAATGCCTCGAGTCTGCGAGCTGATACTTCAGACGGGGTGCATGTCGCTGGCTAGTTGCAGCAAGCTGTCCTGCTGCACATCAGGAAGCAAAATGGACAATGATGACTGGGCATCTTGATCTCCGGGAGCTACAGTCGCTGTGAGCTCATTGGCCCTGGAGTCTGCATGTCTGGTCTCCTCTTCCACTGGCATCTCGCGGCTGATGTTTTCCGTGCCGCGGCGCGCTCGCACCTCGGATGCGCTGCGAAGGCGATGGATTTGCTTCGGCGTCGTCGGTGTTGCAACTGCTGTTCCTGCTCCTGCTGCTCGTGTTTGTCTTCTCGTCCTCCTCCTCCTCGCCATGACCCTGAAATGGGCGTGATGTGGGTCTCCATTGCTTGCAGTCTTAGGCTCGTTCGTTTAATGCATGCACAGCCCAGCGTCGGGAGACTGAGAGCTCGATTCAGGTCCGCGCTGGACGTAATGCATAGCGGCTCGGCATAGCAACATCGTTTCTAAGCTTTGTTTGTCTTTGATGAGCTCGATCATTGCACGGATTCCGCGACTCGCACGACGAGCATCACAGCTGGAAATCGCTTAAAACCCCTGTTTACCATACCCGGCCGCTCGAATTTACAGCAGGGCTCTAGCAGTTCGACCCAGTCGTTGGACGGATCCACTGATTAAGCGAGAGTCATTAGTAATTAGCATAAGTGGACGATCGTTTAAACTTACTCTTCCATCTCCGGCCGCTTGAATGTGCAGCACGGCGAGAGTTTCGACCCAATCCGTGGACGGAATCAGCGAGCCGCGGGGCGAGCATCACCAGCATCAGCCGGCAAGCGTCTGAACTGACTCTCGCATCTCCGGCCGATTGAATTGGAGGAGCGGTTAGCAGTTCGACGCAACGAGCCGCAGGGCGAGCATCACCAGCATCAGCTGGCAATCGTTTGCAGTTGCTCTCGCATCTCCGGCCGAGCCGGATTCAGCATCACCAGCATCAGCTGGTGAACTTACTCTCGCATCTCCGGCCGATTGGTTTTGATGCGCGACTAGCAGTGCGAGCCACTCATTGCATGGATTCAGCGAGCCGCAGGGTGCGCATCACCAGCATCAACTGGCAATCGTTTCAACCTACTCTCATGTCTGCGGCCGATTGAATTGGATCGACGCAATCATTGGACAGATTCAGTGAGCCGCAGGGCGAGCATCACCAGCATCAGCTGGCAATCGTTTGAATTTGCTCTCGCGTCTCCGGCCGATTGAACTGGAGGCGCGGCTATAGCAGTTCGACTCAATCATTCAAGGATTTAGCGAGCCGCAGGACGAGCATCACCAGCATCAGCTGGCAATCGTTTAAACTTCCTGTCATATCTGCGGCCAATTGAATTGGATCGCCGCAATCTTTGGACAGATTCAGTGAGCCGCAGGGCGAGCATCACCAGCATCAGCTGGCAATCGTTCGAACTTGCTCTCGCATCTCCGGCCGATTGAATTGGAGGCGCGGCTATAGCGGTTCGACTCAATCATTGACGGATTCAGCGCGCCGCAGGGCGAGCATCACCAGCATCAGCTGGCAATCGTTTGAACGTACTCTCGCGTCCGATTGAATTGGAGGCGGGGCTAGCAGTTGGATGCAATCATTGGACGGATTCAGCGAGCCGCAGGGCGAGCATCAGCAGCATCAGCTAGCGATCGTCTGAACTTACTCTCGCATCTCCGGCCGATTGAATTGGAGGCGCGGCTATAGCAGTTCGACTCAATCATTCACGGATTCAGCGAGCCGCAGGACGAGCATCACCAGCATCAGCTGGCAATCGTTTTAACTTCCTGTCATATCTGCGGTCGATTGAATTGGTCGCCGCAATCATTGGGCAGGGCGAGCATCACCAGCATCAGCTGGGAATCGTTTGAACTTGCTCTCGCATCTCCGGCCGATTGAATTGGAGGCGCGGCTATAGCAGTTCGATTCAATCATTGACGGATTCAGCGCGCCGCAGGGTGAGCATCACCAGCATCAGCTGGCAATCGTTTGAACGTACTCTCGCATCTCGGGCCGATTGGATTGGAGGAGCGGCTAGCAGTTCGACGCAAGCACTGACGGATTCAGCGAGCCGCAGGGCGAGCATCACCAGCATCAGCCGGAAAGCGAGTGAACTTACTCTCGCATCTCGGGCCGATTGAATTTGATGCGCGTACGACCCACTCATTGTATGGATTCAGCGAGCTGCAGGGCGAGCATCACCAGCATCAGCTGGCAATGTCTTAACTCACTGTTCTATCTTCGCCCGATTCAACTCGCAGCAGGGCTATCAGCTCCACCCAGCAATTGAGCGGATTCAGCGACCCGCAGGAGCGAGCATCACCAGCTGGAAATCGTGCATAACTCACCCTTCCATCTCCGGCCGATTGAATTTCAGGCACGGCTGGCAGCTCGACGAAGTGAAAAAGCGGATTCAGCGAACCGCAAGGCGAGCGTCACCGGCTTCCGCTGGCAATCGTTTAAACTTACTCTCCCATCCCCCCTCCGCTGCAAAGCACAGCTCGGCTACCCAGCAATTGGATGGGATCCGCATGGTGACATACAGACCGGTAGCAATCTACGAAGCAATATTGCACCACTGAAGTATGCACCTGGTGGAGCGTTGAGGCTCATGCACACTTTGGTGCGGGAATGAATCGATTAATATGTATATTACATGCCTTTTGTTTACGTACTTGCATACATTATTGTAAACCCAAACACACACACATACCAATACATGTGTGTAGCATGTCAAGGTCACTGGGAGAAGGTTCTCGGAGCCACTTTGGCCTCAGCCCCGGACCATGCCCCCGACTTCCGCCATCTCTGGAAAGTGCAGATAGTCCATGATGCCCTGCTGTTTGGGGGGTGTAGAGCCTTAGGGTGTCGGGTTTAGCTTACGTCTGCTATGTTCTTGAACGGGCTTGAGTTTTACTTTCGCGGGCTCTTTCGGGGTCCTGTTATGGGGCTTCGGCTCCTAATTTTGAGATCTGCTAAAGGTTTTCGCTCTCCCCTCGAAGCCTTCGACAGAAGCAATCACAAAGCATGAAAGTGGGAGCTTCGGGAAGATAGCGCCCGCAAACCAGATCCTGAAGTGGGATGTAGGGTCCTGGTGATGCAGGCACCCTTCAGTAATAAACAGGCACCCTTGAATCGAAACGCCCGTACATACGTCAGAGTGAAAGCTCATCTAAGCATGAGCCTTGGTGCACTCGGCAGATTCGCTGATACGGTGGAGGGTTTCGGACGGTTTTTTGGGATCTTAACTCTTGTCAAAGCATGTTGCCACCTGCCCGAAGTCTACACAAACCTAAGAGTGCAGGTGGCGCGCCGAGACGGTTGGGGTATGTATGGGGCGGATGGACAGAATTTCGACGATTTTCCAGCGTGTGGGGACACAGCACTCTGATTGTTGTGGCTACACACTTATGCTGCATGATGAAACTGCCAACAGCAACTTGCACCAATAAGAAGAGCAGAGCAGCAGCAGTAGCAGCAGCACCAGCAGCCGTGGCGACCGCCACGACGACGACACCAAAGATGACAACGGTCACAACAGCAACGGCAACGGCAAGAGCGGCCAGAAGGCAGGAGCCGCCGGAAGGCAACGCCACAACGACAACAACCACGACGGTAGCAACAACGACACCTTGCGACAACAAGAATATCAACAGATGTACCAGCGCGAACTGCTATCACCGTAGCAGCAGCGCATTCAGACACAATACAAATCACAACAGCGATGACCAGCGTGACACCAAACCACAAACAACATTATGCTGCCAACGGCAGTCGTCCTTGCGGGCATTATGTCTATGCTCTGTACAGGGTGCCCCTTGCTACCTCAACTACCATCGGTAGTAATGCCTGCTGTTCTTCCGAAGATGATCATTGCTAGCGGCGTGTGGAGAAGTCGTCTTCTTGAAGCTTGTTCAATATATCTGTGAATCTCGGCAGAGTGTATGCAACCACAGCTTCGGCTGCACTTAAGCCTTAAGCCAACCCAATTGGTTTGCGAGGTCGCAGCTGATGTAATGATGCCGCTGTCCGCTTCAGGAAACGAGTGGGCAACTGAGCTCTTTCTTCCTCATGCTGTGGAGATTCAGACTATTAAGTGCCTTTTCATAATGATTGAAGGAGTTCAACAATATCTGTATATTACCGTTGAGCAATCGAATCGGAGGTTCCCTCACCAACCCCCCCCCCTCCCATCTCCAGACTCTTGGGGTTCCCTGGGCCCCCAAACTCCGAAGCCTTGAATCCTGAGGCCACTAGGCTCCTATACTTTCGTAAGAAGCCCTGGGTCCTCTGGGTAGAGGGGGGCATCCGGATCTCCGCCCCAAGCATGCAGCATGTCGCCGGTAAGGTTACCTCGCTCCTCAGGTGGCTTTTGCCGTTTGCTCGTACTTGGAAGTCGGAGTTCGGGTCTGGGTTTAGGGTTGGTTGTGCTTGGGGACAGGTTGTAGAGGCCAGGGCTATTATGATATGATCGGGTAAGATAGGGGACTATGGTGACCCAAAGTGTCGAGAGCTTCAGAGTCTTCATGAGCTCTGTCGCTGTGTGTCTAAGTCGGCTCTTCCTGCAAAAACTTTATGGAAGCGTTTTTCCAGCTCTCTCTGCTGAATGCAACCTTTGAAGCTGCTAGGAGATCTTGCAGGCTTTACCGTTCCGAAATCTCTAAGAGCAGGAGCCTGGACACCATGAATTTCAAGCAGAACGGCCCATCTAAACAAACCTCTATTGAGCCGACTTCAAATACATACGTTACAGGGAACCCTACTGTAAAATGACCGAGTGTTTACTGCTGAACACCTCCGTCTCTGGGGCCGCCACCTCCGGAGGAAGGCTTCGAACTAGGTCTCCTGCATGAGGTCAAGATTTCAGGATTCATGCATCTGTTGCTGCACCTGCTGGTGCGGCTTCGGAGGCCATTGCTGCCACTGCCGTCATGAACTCCTAGAGCAAATAAACCACTTAATTCCTTGCGCTGCAAAGCCACACTGCCGAAGCCTACAAGTTCGTTGTCAGCTTGCGGAACATCCTTGACCATCTGACCCATTGGCGATGCTCACTATAGTGTCATAAACCACCTTCGAAGCCCCAAGCCGAAACCCTATTCATTAATCTTCAAGCCCAAAGGACCAACAAGCCCCGCCCCTCCCCAATAGAAAAACTCTCCACAAGATTCACCCCCAAATCAGGTCTAAGGCAAGGTGCCGAAGTGCGTTCGGAGCAACCACGGGGACTGGCATCGCTTTGGGAAGCCTCAGCTGACCGAAGAGACCCAAGCGTCAGCTTACATGATGAGTCAGTCTGCGCCCTTATGACCCCTGAATACATCGCAGCGCAGTTTGCTCCCAATGCCACTTCTAAGTCTTTAGGCCCTATAGACTGTAGCTACAATGGCTCTTCGACAACGAGCAGGCCACCACAGGAACCGCAGCCGGCAGCTTGTCGCAGGACCATGGAGCCCAGAAGCAGCAAGCCCTCCTGATATCTACTTTATTACTATGATTGTAATGATTATCATTCCCATGATCATTATCATTATTACTATTGATTTATTATGATTGCTATGATTATCATTACCATTATCATTATCGTTATACTATTGAATTACTATGGTTGTTATGATTACCATTACCATTATCAGTATTATTATATTACTATTAATTATCATTGTGTCTTGAACTTGTAATTGGGCCCTTTCTCTTGCAGGCCCAACCCACCAGGGATCTACGGTCAACAGATTCCAAAATCCCTCTAAGAAGTGTGGGGTTCTGCGCTCGAGAGTCTGGTGGCTAGGGTTTAAGGGTTTTATTTTGTAAGTGCAGTGCGCCCCCTTCTGTTGCAAACGCTTGTAGGTTTAGGGTTTAGGGTTGTCGAGCAAGCCGTGGCCTTCTAAACTCGTGAGCCTGGTAGGTCAAACCGTGGGGCCAAGTTCATCCAGACTTTTTCAACCCGATCTCAGGAGGTCCAAGCTCAAACCAATGAATAATACGCAGTAGCAGCAATAATAATCATCATCACCATCATAACAGTCATAACAACAATAAGAATGATAATGATGATGCTCATGATGATGATACTAATAACGATAGAGGTCGAACTCATCATCAAACTCGATGATGCCGTAGTGGTTGGGGTTTTCGGGTCTGGGGAAACCCTGAACCCCCAAAAAGCATTAAGCTTAGGGATTTCGGGGTTCCTTGCTTTGGACAGCGTGAGAGAACAGCGCACCTCGACACCCTAAAACTTTTGGGGGATCGCGGTTCGCTCCTGCCCTTCCCTGCACATGGGTGGTTGGCAAAATTATGGTCCCTTTTTGGGTCCTTATTATAATACGGCACCTATTATTTAGGGTACCCCAAAAGGTACCATAATTTTGACAACTACCCACATCTGCATGGCCCTGCGAGGTCTCTTGGGCTACTTCCCTGACAGCGGTAGATCATGGCCGGTGCAGTGAGTTTCGGGATCTGCGTCCAGGAGCTGTGAAGCCTCGACTTGCAGACAAGGCGCATAGCTGTCGCTGCACTGGAGGCTCCTTCACAAACTCTACAACGGGAGGAACTGGTGGAGAGGAGTTGATCAAGGGCCTATATAAATTCAACAAAGCCTCCCTCTATAAACTTCTTCCAATCCGCAGCCTCAGCTCCCCTGTGACCTCGAGGCCCTAAATCCCGAAACTTGGAAACCCAGCATCACTCTTTGCCAAGAGATCCTTGAAGCCTATGGGCCTGGCGTGCTTCCTATAGTGGGTCGGGATATTCGCAGTTTGCAGCGTTTGTAGGCCGAGCCTCAGGTTCTTAGGGTCCCATGCCTCATGCCTCTTTGGTATCTCACCTCTGCCTAGGTGGGCCGGGCACTACATACACGCTATGGTAAATGCACTACGCACTTTACACAATGGTATTCGCAGCCTTGGCACACTGTGCCGCTACGTGGACTAATGTCAGTTTGCTCTTTCGTTTACGCCATTGTGCCGTAATTGCCTCGAGGAATGCATTCTGCGGTCAACCTAGCGACAGCCCGAGAAAATCCCACAAACACCGAAACACAGAATTTTCCCAACACTTCTACCGGCCCTCAAGGGCGGAATCCGCGAATCCCGAAGACTGCACAGATGGGCCTGCAAAGCTTGTGGACGTGCGCACGGGTAGCATGAGGCATAGCGTTGCTGAGCAGTGGCTTCATCCGCGCCAGAGAAACGCCCACTGTGAACCTCAGCTTCTGAAAATAATCATCTGAATCTCAAGGAGTTACCAGATGATTTGTTTAGGACTATACTGTATACTATACGATACTAGACTAGACTAGATCATAATATGCTATGCTATACTATAACTGTCTTCACCTAACGGTATAGCGTATCGATCTCGGATTGAGGCTCTAAGGCTCTTAAGGAAGAACGAAGCTCGGAGCTCCAAAGTCGGTCAACTGGTCCGGGTTTGGCCAGGGTAGAAGTATAGTATCATGGTATAGTTAGTGTATATATGTATATATATATATATGTATGTATATATATATATATACATACCAAAAATATATAGGTACTATAGTATACTCTACTCTAGCTAGTGTACTACACTAGACTAGGAATGAGCAGCGATGATTTGAGTATACTTATCTATCTGCACATGTGTCTGTACGTTCGCAGACAAGTATATGTGTGTCGGAAATGCAGACAAGTGTGTTCGGTATTCTCTGGATCTATCATTCACTCATTTGTCTGTGTCTCCCCGTTGTGTTGCTTATGAGCGTTTTGTATGTGTATTTACCTTTGAAACCGAAGGACAGCGTACCATGCAGTCTTCAGCTTCCTTGGAGTGCAGTGGGCTCAGGGCTTCAATCCCTGTCTGTTGCGAGGACGCTCTCAGAAGCCGAGGTCCCGGCTGAAAGGAAGTCTTGTGAACCGCATGCGGCACCTGAGAGCTTCGCTATGATAGTCAAAACATCGGCGGGGGGGGGCCAAAGCCACAGCACTGATGCAGCAATCCTCCTGTCGTTTACACACTGTTCTCCTATGGGCCAAAAATACAACAGCAGTCGTAGGAGTAGTGGCAGCAGTAGTAGCAGCAGCAGTAGTAGTGGTAGTAGTAGCAGCAGTAGTAGTCGCAGCAGCAGCAGCAGGAGGAGGAGGAGGAGGAGAAGGAGAAGGAGAAGTAGTAGTAGTAGTAGTAGTAGTAGTAGTAGTAGCAGCAAGAGCAGGATGAGGAGTGGCGGAGCAGGAGCAGGCGCAGGAGGAGCAACATCAGCGAGCAACAGCAGCGGCGCCAACAGCAGCGGCACCAACAGCAGCAGCAGCAGCCGCGGCGGCGGCAGCAGCAGCAGCAGTGTGAATACCCCGAGAAGCAGCAGCACCACCGCCACACGTACCACCATGCCGGCACTAGCAGTACCTATAGACTCTTGAAGTAGCAGCAACAATGTCAGCCACGACGGTACTAGTACTAACTTTAAACGCAGTAGCAGCATCGACTTTTTGTCAAATCACCACAGCCGCCAGCAACACCATGACCATCGGCCCTAGGTGCTTTTGAATCTACTTATCTTGCTATTTGCCGTCAACCGTGAACACTGCTTTGGGAACTATTGACATCTGCGCATGAGCCTCGCCCATACCTAGAAGGAAACCTGAAATTTTCATGGAAGAGTTGGTGTGCCTGAAGCGGTCTACAGTTTACAGGGGCCGAGAACAGATTGCTCTTCCAGCCACTAATAGTCAGGCGGCATGAAGCTTGTCGAAGTAGTTCACCAAGTCTTCTGCGAAGCTCGAATGGAGCACAGTCTGTGATCGAACAACCACCTTGGTCATCGTCAACAAGCTCCAGACACGTCCCACTAAAACAGCCAGGACTCCATCTTGAATTCCCCAAACCCAAACCCTTCAGCCCCCAACCTCCACCTACCCACCGACGAAAAGCCCAAGAACAACGAGCCACCCTAAACTCAAAACCCTGCAAACCCTAAACTCTGGACGTACCCCAAAGCGCTATGAACCCTATGAGCCCTATAATAAGCCCTAAACTCTACAAGCCCTGGAAGCCCTAAACACATGGCTGACAGCAGAGGCTCACTGTTGGCCTCCGGGAGGGCCTGAGTCACCTGGTGATGCTTGCTTCCCAGGCCTCGGACACAGCTAGTGGCAGCTAGTGCCCTGGGCTTGGGCCTTTCGGGATTTAGGCTGTAGGATCCCTGTTTTTAGGGAATGTATGCTGAGCATATGCCCCCGTTTACCTCCTGCTGCAACGCTTCAGCAAGAGGGTTTAGAGTTCAGGGCCTAGAGTTCAGGATTCAAGGGTGATTTGGGGCTTTATGGGCTTACGGCATGAAATGCTTGGTGGTCTAGCCTCCAGACTCAAGTCTCTAAGCCAGGAAGCGTTTAGCAAACAGAATCAATAGACCCACCCCGAAATCCTAAAGACCCAAACCCTAAAACCTAAAACCGTAAAACCCTAAACCCTAAACCCTAAAACCCAAAACCGTAAAACCCTAAACCCCTAAACCCTAAACCCTAAAACCCAAAACCGTAGAGCCCTGAGCCCCAAGTTCTTCAAAAGCGTGAACTGTTCAATCCTCAAGCGCTGAGGCAGGGGCCATCCACTTCAACGTACCAGAAGGGGGAGCCGCTAGTAAAGGTGGCACCAAGCCCCCCGGCCTTCGTTAGGGTTTCAGTTTAGGTCGTTGCAGCTTTGGCGGTTTTTTGCAAGGGGGGCAGATCAAAATGTCGACTGCTACCCACTTTCTTTAGTCACAATGTCGCAGTGTGGAAAATGTGTGTACCGAGAAACAGTATTCAGAGACGAAGTATATGCATATGCATTACACATTCTGTGCGTGTATGTATGCATGCATCAAGGCCGGCGAGCATGTATGTACTTGGCGTAGAATTTTGCAAGCGCTGATGTGCATGTATATGCACATACAACCAAGTATGAATACACCGTGCACCTACATATGTGATATATGTCTATGTGTCTAATCTTGGTTTTGTGTTAGACAGGCTTTCTCACCAGACACCGCCGTCTGGTACATAGACGTCTTATGCTAGATAGTGTGTTCTGTAAGACAGGGTCTGCTGTTTGACAAGGGTGTAATTATGTGCCCTGCTGTTGAACCAACCGGCTTGGCTTTGCTGGGCTCGTAGCTTCTAGACAAACCGTAGTGGACAAGAGCGATACTCCCACCTACATGTATATGTATATATATATATATACACATACGGATAAACAAATAATATATATATATATATACATACCCACATGCACACACAGACACAGTACAAACAAGCAGTGAATACATGTGTATAAATATATATATATATATATATATATATTTATACATTGATATATGTATATATATATATACATACACACAAACATACGTACATACATACATACATACATACATACGTACATACATACATACATACAAACATACATACGTACATACATACATATCATACATACATACATACATACATACATACATACATACATACATGCATACATACATACATACATACATACATACCATACATACCATACACATCATACATATCATACATATACAACACACACCATAGCTGCCGACGACAAATGCAGTAACAAGTTTTGAGAGCTTCGGTAACCTTGAGCGCTTCAGCTGTGGAGCTCGGGCTCATTTCTCAAATCATGGTCTTCTCCAATCTTGCGCTTTGCTCTACTCAACTCGAGGATACCCTTGGAGGTTCATGGGTAGTTATAAATAGGGTTATAAATCCCTTAATATGGGTTATAACTATAGTTACCCTACTTATAACCCCACTTATAATTACCCATGAACCTCCAAGTACTCAACTCGAGGATACCGAGAATAAGCAGGCGGAGGCCTGCATCACGCTCGACGGAGTGATGCCACCGCGCAGCAGCAGCAGCTCGGGTGTCATGTTCAGGACTCAGCAGGCGAGGGGTGCTCGGACCAACACTGCATCCAAAGAGGGTCTTGGCTCCTAGGCTAAGGACAAGCGTAGGGGGAATCTTGCACAGAAACCATCCACTTTGATGCATGTACCTCGCCATTCGTCACGCACTTGGGAGTTCCCGCAGGTTCATGCATTGTTCGGGTACAGTGTCTAGAGTCTAGATCGGATGGGTCCGGGCCGACACATCCATCGTGCAACCATAGACCCCGCGCCTAAGCTGCAGGCAATCCCTATCCATTCAGTGCCGACGAATCATCGAATTTTACCAGCTCTTTGAGCTCCAAGGATGGCACCATACATCCGCTTCGGGACCTCGAACTCGAACTGTAGAGGGATCTCGTGGGGTTGCAGCCTCAGGCTCGAAAGAGAGGCGCAAGTGGCTCTGCTCCCTCCTCCCTTTCTGCCCTACACGACAAGACCTGTCTCCTCCCACTTATATGCTGCGGGCAGATCGGCGAACTTTCCTCTACAGCTTGGACAACCTTCCCAGAAGTTCCCCATCTCAGAGGCAGACCCTGGCATGCTTCTAGGGGTGCCCTTCTCATAGTGCTTGAAGTACTGCCTGCCAATGCGTATAGAGTGGTTTAGCTTGTCCGGGTTTCAGGGGTTTTAGGATCTGTGCAGTGCTGAGAGCAGCGCGGAAGCACGAAGCAAAGGCTGAAGCCATTCACATCTTCCGTTTTCTTCGGCGACGTGATCGGCTGCTGCCGTCCGGAAACACGGCCCGAAACCAGGGGCTCCAGCTATGAAAGCTCTCCTGGCCATACCTTCTTTCCTTGCTTACTACCCATGAGGAGGTGAGGCTTTTGGATTGAGCGCGACAGCCCGAAACTCATCACCCATGCGCCTGTAGAGCTGATCGAACCGCTCGTATCTGCCCTCCAGAAAGCTGGGCTCCTGCAGAGCTCCATCTAGGAGAGTCATGATTCATATACATATACGTATGTATGTATATGTATATACACATATGCATACGTATATATTTGTATACACAGTACATATATATATATATGTATATATATATATACACACATACATATATGCATGCGTATGTATGTGACGCTTCGGGGCTCAGACCCGCTGCCCCGCCTGCTAAGAAAAAAGGACCAGACAAGACGAAGAGCGTTCGGAAGTTAATCCTTTAGTACATTATCGTATATTATAGTATATTGGCGTATCTCATAGTATATGATATAATATTTTAGTAAATTAGAGGTGTCCATGAATGGCGGGGGTCCTGGGAACTTGCTCACATGATTTGATCCACGATGTCAACAAAGTCATGCATCGAAGCCGTGGGGCATCAGTTCAAGGAGTTGTCACCATGGGAACGAGAAGATCTATTTGACCCCTAAGCTCAAGCTCCGTGCGAGCTTTCTGCCAACAGGATCAACAACGATAGAACTTTATTGCTGTAGGCCTCTCCGAATTCTCTTGTCCGCCTTATCTTCCTGCTCACCATCATCGTCATTGCAGCACCATCGCATTCTGATAATATTCTAGCACCCCTGAAGAACCCCTCATGGTACCCCCTGGCCCCCTCTAGGAGCCCAAATGCCTGCTGTATCCTACCTCAACCCTCCAGGTACCCACTATATAGGGCCTTAGGGGCTCTAGTACCCTATATAGTAGGTAACTGGGGGGTTAGGGCTAGACGACCCAACTCCCAAAGCCCTGACCTCGGCAGCCTTTGGGCGCATGGCGCCGGCCACCGCAGCCAAGGCCACCAGGATCGAAGACCACATCGCCTGCGTGGAGGTTCATGGGTAGTTATAAGTGGGGTTATAAGTAGGGTAACTATAGTTATAACCCATATTAGGGGATTTATAACCCTACTTATAACTACCCATGAACCTCCAAGTGGACAAAGTCTGGGCGGGTTTAGGGTAAAGGGGTTTGGGGGTTGGGGGTATAGGGTTGAGGGTTTAGGGAACAGAAGTCTTGGCTGAGAAAGAGTCTTGGGGCGTTTGCCAGAAATTTCTGCACTGTTGCGGGTTCCTGTTGATTGCTTTATATTGGGGATTTTCCGCACTGTGTTCAGACATCCTATTCAGAATGGCTCTGAACAAGCAGTGGGGTTTGGCCTGCGATCCCAACCCCAGAGTACATTCCTGAATCACCTGAACCACCGCAAAGTGAGGCAGATTAGGGAGTTCAGCCGGGTTCCGGTTATGGGCAACTGGGGGATGAAATGTGGATGGTTGTCAAAATTAGGGTCTCTTTTTGGGTACCCTAAATAATAGGTGCCGTATTATAGTAAGGACCCAAAAAGGGACCATAATTTTGACAACCACCTATGTGTGGGCTTCTAAATCGCTCGATGGACGAGCTGTAAGATGCAGCGTCGTCGGCGACGGATAGTCCGTCTGGCAAGGAGGCTTGAACCCTAAACCCTAAACCCCAAAACCCTATTATTCTGATGGTCTAATATACCCCAAAACCCTATCATTCTTATGGTCTAATATACCCCAAAACACTATTATTCTTATGGTCTAATAAACCCCAAAACCCTCTTATTCTTATGGTCTAATATACACCAAAAGCCTATCATTCTTATGGTCTAATATACCCCAAAACCCTATTATTCTTATGATCTAATATACCCCAAAACCCCATCATTCATATGGTCTAATATACTCCAAAACCCTATTATTCTTATGGTCGAATATACCCCAAAACCCTATTGTTCTTATGGTCTAACATACCCCTCAAAAACCCTATTATTCTTAACTTATGGTCTAATATACCCCCCAAAACCCCGCTTGAACTTTGGCCGCAGGAGAATTTGGAGCCTCCAGCCTGGTTCCGCCCAAAGGCGCGACAGCTGCCAGGCTAGCACATAAACCTGTGCTGGCACCATGACTAGGGTTTAGGGTTTAGGGTTTAGGTTTAGGGTTTAGGGTTTAGGGTTTAGGGTTTAGGGTTGAGGGTTTAGGGTTTAGGGTTTAGGGTAAGTAAGGTGCTTTGAGAGTTTAAACCTGTGCTGGCACCATGATTAAGTAAGGTGAATTTAGAGAGTTTGTAAGCTTACTAAGCTGGCTGCTGCAGGGTTCGTATAAGATTGCTGTGAGGTTCTGCTGCGGGTGACTGCGGGAAGGAAAGCTGATCCGAGCCGAAATCAACTCCGCTTTTCCTGTGATTGTTTCCCTAGGTTTTCGGTGCCTGCCGTTTCAACCACAACAAAATCCCGAATTTAGGGTTGTGGGTCTAGTGTTTATTTACACTGTAAACCAACAATCCCTAAATCCATGAGTAGAGTAAAGAAACCCTAGCCCTAAACCCGAAACCCAAGGAGTTCCAAAGAAATTCCAAGAGCGTCTCACGGCAAGTACCCTCGGACTCAGGCTCTTTACCAGGTACGTCTGGATGTCTGTACTATATTTAGGGCTTCATAGGGTTTATAACGGTTTATAGGGTTTTGGGGGCTTAGGATTTAGGGTTTATAGGGTTGAGGCTTTTAGGGCTTAGGGTTTAGGATTTAGGGTAGAACCAAAGCCCAAAAGTAGATGCACGGGAAGGAAAGGCCTTGAGTCAGATTCGCCAGTGCATGCCCAGATGCTCGTGCGAGGATTTCGCAAATGGAAACACGCAGCTGGAATGAGCTCAGGTGGCTGCAGCGAGAAGAGGATACTATCACATGCTCTCATATGCTGCAGCATACTATATTACACTATAATATACCATAATATACTATTAGATACTATAATCGACCATGCCATACGACAATATATACGCTCTGACAGGCCCATCTTAACACTGAAAGGGGCAAGGAATGCGCGCCCCTGATAGTAATGGCATATTACCCATAGGCCCCATAGTAGTTCCTTTTGGGGTTCATATTTAGAATCCGATTAGGGAATCCCAAAAAGGAACTACTATGGGGCCTATGGGTATGGTACAATCCTAAAACCCTAAAGCCTAAACCCTAAACCCCTAACCCCTAACCCCTAACCCCTAAACCTATTAAAACCCAAGCAAGATCTACGAAACCTCTGAACTCTTTGCCACCCAGCGCCTCGGTTGGGGCCTTCGCCTGGGAGACTGCCTCCGAGGTGAATGGAGAAGCTAAGGTAGTCTTATTATTGCCATTATTTTTTTTATAGTGTTACTATTATTATTATTACTATTATTATTATCATTAATATTATATATATATATATACATATATATATATATATATATCTATTGTCGCTTTCTGGGTTCATGGAAGTTCAGCACGTTTTGGTGAGCAATGGGAGTGCAGATGAAAGAGTACAAGCCTCATAAATTGTGAAACACACTGATGCTCGGGAGCAAAACAACGTGTTTGTGAGTGTGCCGTACAAGCAGTGAACTGACTTAACTCAGCCAGAGCCACGACTCACCAGACTAAACGATTAAACGTCTCTCCTTTCAGCTCGTCGTGCGCTTGTGAGTATGTTTGTAGCTGCTGACCACGCCTTCCAGTGCTCTCCAACATCTGCCGGCGTGCAGCCGCGCACGTCCAGGAACCAGCAAGCCCTCCGATAGCAAAGAGCATGACATTAAATTAAAAAGAAGCGGTCCGAGTTCTTGGAATCAGATGAGATGGCTGCATTCGCTGCTGAAGCTCGGTCAGACTAAAAGGTTCGCATCATCCAAAGTCGTACATATCTTACTTGAGCTTCCGGCACTGCGTAGCCCGCAGTGGCCAGGGTCTTGCGCACCTGGCTTCAGCCAGAGGCTATGCTCCAGAAAACGTAACACAACTGCGTTCCTGCTGAGCCCAAGACTTTTCCGTCGAGCCGGACAATTCAAACTACCCAACGCAGTCGGTTAGTAGAGCAACGACAAGACGCTGTGGGTTTTCTCGTGTCGAAGCTACGGCTCTTTCGCTGAGCTGCTTCTGTCGGCTGCAACCCGTCCCAAGGCTCCAAAGTTTCTGTCCCAAGAAGGTATAACCGTAGGTCCGTAGAAAAGAAGCCTCAATAATTACTAAGATTAGTCCTTAGGGTTCCTTACCATAACTATACGATAGAGGAGGCCCAAAGCCCTATTCTCACTATTAAGGCCCCTACAGTAGGTCCAGACGCAGGAATGTAGGCTGACTCCCTCATGGTATACGGCGCTCCCTCGCTTGGCACCTCCGCCAGGACGAAGATGAGGTGCGGCGGTGTCCGAACGGTGATCACCTCAACTTGTCTGTAGGAACTGCTGGAAGCTATGTGAGGGTCCATAGCTCAAAAACACGAAACCCCTAAACTCTATATAGTTCTGTGTTATGGGGCTATCTTGTGGGGCCATTCCAGGCCTTACATTCGGCGAGTCCGAGACGGGCCCATATCAGCTCCGGATTTTCAAGGACTTCTCGCCTAATATAGGGGGCCTTAATAATTAGAAGAGGGTTTTGGCATATGTTTTACCATTATTGTAATAAGGAGCCCCCAAGTATAGGTAATTATTAAGGCCCCTATCTTACCCCCACCCTGGAATGAGCACTCCTACTGCGAATTAGGCACGGGGTCACAAAGATAAACCTGCGTCATGGGTGCGAGTTGCGACCTCCGCATCTGTTTGTTAGGTCTTCACAGCAACATTCCACCCCTCTCACCAGCCCTCTAGAGAGAGCCAGGGGACTAATTCAGCCTAGACCATGCTGCTAGGTCTGGAGCTCTCCGTAAGAGCTGCAATGAGGTCGACGCAGCCCACTCTCCGGATCTTAGCTTACCGGCCACCGCCGAGAGACCATGCATGGCAGCAGGCTCCCATCTATCCGGGTTCGAGGGAGACGTTGGCTGCTGAAGTCCCAAAGCGTGCAAGCATCCTAACCGACTTATCCCGAGCTTTTGGACCTTTTGGAGCCTGAATCTTGCCAAATACTGGGATGCGCAGGGCTACAAGAAAGAATCCTAAGACCTTATTATACACTCAACATCCTCCAAGGCTCTCCGAAGCTCAACGCACTACCCTGGAGAACCCCTCGATCCTAAGCCGGAAACGCCAAGTCCTTGTATACCGCAAGCCCTAAACCCTTTAGGGTTTGGGGATTTAGGGGTTTAGAGTTTATGCTAAACCTTAATAACCGCCCTTTTGACCTTCGACATCTTTGACTGAGGCTCCTACCATGGCCTCACGGAGATAGTGCAAATGCTGACGCTGCAGGTTGTTCATGACTTCCGCCTCGCTACTTTTGTTTTTGGGAGGGGTGGTGGTGGTTGGTGGTGTGGGGAGGGTCTCATATCTTGTATAGTGCATATATTCTGTGGCTGGTATTGTATATGCTATATGACAGTATACAGATGAATCTATATAAATAAATAAATAAATATATATATATATATATTATGTGTTATGCACTGTATGTTACTATGGCATATATATATACACATACACTAACATGTACCTCTAATCTCTTATCGTGTGTCTTACGTATTATATGCTCTATATACATAAGCTACTATACGCAACGTATTATATGCATTCCTGTGTATATATTCTAGCCTTCAGTAAGTTCTGTTTGATTGGGTTAGGGCTACAGGGAGTCTTCGCATTCTTCTTGAATTGTTTTGTCATGCGCTACTGACTGTTGCAGCAGTTTTCTTGGTTATACTATCGCCACTGTGACTGTAGCCTTACACTGCTGCTCATGGTACCGCATGGTACTGTTGTCATGGCCACCCTAAAACCCTAAACCGGCTACTGGTATGCATCAGATCGAGAGCCGAGAGGACTTCCTCAGTCTCCAAGCTTTCGGCTTCAAAAGGCAAGCGTCAACAATGAAACTGAGAGTAGACGAAGTTCAAAATACGGGATCCCCCCTGTAGGGCCCTTCACAACAAAAAATTCCACGAACTCGCGATACCATCAGGGTTCTGAGACCTTGCACCTTGCCTGTCAGCGTTTTATCCTCTGAACCCCTACACAGAAACCTTCCTAGACTCCAAGCCCCTCATGACCTAAACCTCGTGAATACCCACGGGGAGCTATGGAAAAAACAACCTTAAACCTGCACCCCAAAACAACTATGGAACCTTTTGTAGTAGCCCTTATGGTACCCGCCCTTAGTAGCCTAACACCTGGGTGCATGGCCAGCTTCAAGGGCAAAATCTTGCGTACGAAGGTGCTTCCATCCGTTGCCTCGCAGGGCGCATCGCCGCGGATTCTATCATTCTGACATCTAGAGTTTAGGGGTACGAGATTTGGGAGGCTAGGATTCAGGTTTTCGCCAAGAATCACCGAACTTCTCCTGTGAGAGCATTCCTAAGACTACCAGTCTTACCGTCTCTCCAATGCCCTGCAACGCACATCTGAGCTAACTGCTAGCTGCTAGCTGCTGCAACAATCTAGACTGCTACTGTGATGACGAGCACAGTGGCAGCGATGGTGCTGATACTGATACTGATGTTTGCGACTGATTCAGCATTTGCAATTGCCCTTGCTCTCGATCTGATCATTACTGACACAATGGTTGCCTTTCTTTAACTGCTGGTGTGCGATTATTTCGTCAATGGCAGGAAGCGTCTCGCTCTTGTCCATGGTTGTTGGTCTTCCCGGCAGAATGCGGTTCCTCAATCATACTGCTGCTGATGCTTCACACCCTGCCTGCAGAGCCTCGATGTCGGCCTAAACTGAATCTAAGCTACTGGCCTTCGTCGTGGGGCCACTCGGCAGGACAATGTGCACATGCCGGAGTCCGGCCCTAGGCCGTGGACTTCTGCTTAGAGACAAGCAGTTTCGGCTGCCGGGCTTATAAGAGTTGTGGACCTTTCGGCGGTTTGGGGCTTAGGGGTTTTTGAGTTTCGGATCCTGGGTATGTCCTCACAGTGCCTGGGCCTTTCAAAACAATCCGAGTGGGACCTGGTTCCGGCGGTGCTCTTGCAAGGTCTGTGTGTTCGAGATGGGCAGATAAGATGCCTAACCCTACTATATAAGTACTATATACTATTTGGGTATATGGACCCTTAGGGTAAGAGCCCAAATGCAAACAGCCCGGATCCTGACTGCTCACTGTTGACACTGCACACTGAATGCCTTCCATTTAAGGCCTACAATGATAATAAGAATCCCCCAAAACCCTATTATAATTATTAAGGCCCCTTTCTTAAGCCTACATCCGCTACATAGAAAAAAGCCTTAACCTGTCCTTGCCCCTGCTCTTGCCAGGCTCCCCCCATTCTGAAGGCCCGGCTTCAAGGAACCAGCCATTGCCTGGAGTATGGTTTTTTAGAATAGCGTAGAGTACATAAAAGTGTAGTATCGTATATTATCGTATGCTATGTGTATAGTATATGAGTTGTAGTACATTACTGTCGTCATTTCGGCAGAAAGGCTGGCCCAGCTGTGAGCTACGCTGCACCTTTGCGAGACGAGTGCCCGCGCAGGGCCCGGGCGAACCTATATTCGGCTACTGTATGCAATTCTGGTTGGGACACCCTAAGCCAAACAAAGCACTCAATCGGATGCCAAAGTGTTACTCACCAGGCGGACACGCCTGATGCCCTTAACCCAGTCTGGTATACATCACCTCCGCTCGCTGGGCCTGCGTGTTGTTTGCTCCGACTTCCAACCTCAAGCAGAGTCTGCACACAAATCGTTCGCGTGGAAGCGAGCTGCTTCAAGTGACCTCAGCCTCCTTCTGCCTGACATTGTCGGACATTATCACAAATCTTCCTGTGCTGCAGTTGGGCTCTGGGGCCCCCGTCCCAAAGATAGGCATCATTCGCAGCGGGCCGTTTGCTGCTGCGAGGTACGGGGCCTGGCTTCTCAGGGTTTCGGGTGGATGGGGCTGGCCTTCAGTGCAGTCATGGGGCTCACCATGCATTATCGACGATGTGCATTCTACTTACACTCCAAAACCGTAGAGGCCACGGCCCGTAAATCACTCGCCATGTGATTCATCGACACAGCGTGCATCACAAGACCGTTGTCGGACCTGAAGCACTCTGGGGAAGTCGTCGAAGAACACAGAAAATAGCTGCCGGACGACCGCCTGGACAGGTCGAGCTGAAGCAAAATCCCACAACAGGAGGAGACTCTGCGTTTGAGCCTTATGCGCTCGGGTCACCCCAGAAGAAGACAAAGGCCGCAAACCGCTTCGCTCTTTGAAGCATTGTTATGCGGAGCCACTCCATCTGGATTCTTGTTATATAAGCTCTTGTACCATACTACGCAAAATTGCATTGAAGTATATTCTATCATATTATATGATAATTGATTTTTCTGTCCTACTATGTTATACCATATTCTTCTATCCTACTCTACAAATCTACCATATTATATGGCGTTACATTGAACCTCGGTTGATTCTGGAGCCTCCAGGCTCGTGAATTTCGCTCCGCCCTCGTGGTGCGCCAGGAGGCCCTTCAGCCGCTGCTGCTGCGCCAGGGCCTACTTTGATGCGTGGGTTTAGGGTTTGGGGTTTGGGTTTAGGGTATGGGCTTAGGGTTTGGCGTTTTTGGGTTTAAGGGTTTAGGGCTTCGGGTTTGGGGTCGGGGTTTAGGGTTTGGGGTTTAGGGTCTAGGGTTTAAGGGTTTGGGGGTTTGGGGTTGGGGATTTGCGGGACTCCGTCCCTGCTCTGTCATGCTCTGGCGATGAAGGAAGGGGAGGGCATGGGCTATGACCATGATATGGGGATGTTTGGTTGTGTTTGCTCGCATGTTGCCGTCCGGATTGAACGTCATGCTGGACGGGTACTTGCTGATGGCGTCTGGCACTGCTTTTCAGCTGCATTCGCACTTGCTTTTACTACGGCTGCCGTCGCTACTTGCGGATGCCGAGTTTTCCTGTCCGTTGCTACATTTGTCGGTTGGAGATCTTACCTCGAGATTCGAGTGTCGGGGTTGCTATGGTCTGCTGTGCCGCTTGATATTGGTATCTTGTTGATGTGCTGATTTGCATGTGCTACTTGACAGCTGTAAATGTCGTGTTGCTTGTTGCAGGTTCAGGCTTGCTGGCTATGCTTGCTGTGGATGGCCGGATGCGAAGAAGCCTGTGAACCCCTATAGCTTCCTTGCAGAAACCTATCTTAAACCCTCTAAAACTCGTTTAACACCCCATACAACTCTTCTAACACCATAACCAGACACCTGTGAAACCCTTGCAGAACTCGCCTCGGGATCCAAGCTGAGCAGCTCGGCTAGGCGAACTTTCTCCTTGTTGGCCCAGGAGAGTCCAGCAAAAGCGCCGTGAAAAGGAAGGTTCAGGGTTTTGGGATTCGGGGCTTTAAAGCTTTTTCGGGGCGTTAAGGTCAGCATGGGCTTAGGCTTGAGGGGAATTCAGGATTTAGGGTATCTGGAGTTGGATCGTTCTTCGACTCAGTGGTACCTATGCTGCTGGCATGACTTTCGGGGTCGGGGCTGTCACACCCAGGACCATGTTAGGCCCAGGATTGTCATGTCTGGTGCTGAAATAGCATGGTGAGAGATCACCGCCGGATACGATATAATCAGCAAAGCGGAGCAAAGAAGATTTTGTGGAACCACTCCGCTGACATGCGAGCATTGTCTTGCTGAGGGCTTTGGGTTATTGTGGAAACGGTGGAAACATTGGGTAGCTGCAGGTAGCCCTGCATCGATGCAAACTGATACGAGTTGGCGCGACCAAAAACAGCTGCAACTGCGTCAAAACACGGGACTTGCTTCCTGATGCCGGAAAGTTTGGCCTAACACGGGCAAAGCCCTTTCTATTCGCATCCACGGTGATGTAAGGGCTCCTTTGCAAGCATTCTGCTCCGAGCCTCGCGGAACGGCAGCATAACCGAAACGATGAAGGGCTTGCCGTTGACCTGAACCATAGGCTTGCGGATCGACTTCAAGAACTTATGCTAGTGACCGAAAGTCGGACACGTAGCGGCTCTGCTCCAAGGAAAGGGGTCTTCACACAAGCCCGAGGATATGGCCCCCGAAGCTGCGCATGCTCCGTTCTCTGCCCAAGATTCGCCTCTACATGGAGGTAGCTGCTGAGGTTCCAGAACGGTGAGCTGTTCCTGCCGGAAGCAAGCTGCACAGATCATGACTAGCAATTGGCCTGGCAGCCAGAAACAGGTTCACGGCTTCATGTATGATGTTGTAAAACCGGTTGCAGTCAAAGGGTCATGGGCAGAGGCCCTCTTTAGCAGTTCAACTCCAGATTTTGTACTTCCGCATACACTCACCCATGTGCGTGTGTGTATATACATGTATCATATATACATACACAAACACACAGGCATATATATATATACACACACATACACATATAATATGTACATATATAATATGGAGATACCATATGGGTGTTGTCCAATATTCCTTTGTCCTAGATTTAGCTCGGACCTTGCGCGCCCTTGCGCGCGCGCACAAATATGCAAATGTGCATTCGCATGAGTGATATTACCGGACAACTGCATAGACAACCGATGGTTATGTTTGAGCATGTTTTAACTCAACCCTGCATGGTAGCAGTAGTAGCAGTAGTAGTAATGGTAGTAATGGTAGTAGTAGTAGTAGTAGTAGTAGTAGTAGTAGCAGTAGTAGTAGTAGTAGCAGCAGCAGCAGTAGTAGTAGTAGTGTAGTAAGGTAGTAGTGTAGTACTGTAGTGTGTAGCAGCAGTAGCAGTTATAATGATAAACAGGTTGAAAGACTGGTACATGGATAGATAGACAGATAGATAGATAGATACATAGATAGGTAGGTAGATAGATAGACAAACAAATAGATAGATAGATAGATGGATAGATGGATAGGTGGATAGATGGATGGATAGATATATAGATAGATCGATCGATAGATAGATAGGTAGACAGGTAGATAGGTAGGCAGATAGATAGATAGATAGATAGATAGATAGATAGATAGAGAGATAGAGAGATTGACAGGTAGATAGATACATAGACAGATTGATAGATAAATCGGCTAGACCTTGGTAGTTTAGACTTAGTCGAGATTAGGCTAGATTGGGTTCGATTAGAACAGAATAGAACAATAGATAAACAGCAGGACTTGTAAACCGACTGAGATGCGCAGAGTGCATAGCACGCAGTACAAATGACACAACCCTCTGCGCTGTACACCCTTCGTGACAAGGAGACCTTGCGGCGGCTAAGTGCAAAGACATGAAACTTGGTGCGTAGGAGTTCGTTGTCACTTGGTGACCGTGGTTCTCGTCGTGATGTAATGCTGGCGATGACGATGCTGATCTTAATGCTGATTCTGAAAACAGGAGCCATCAGAATACTACGACTGCTTCCCGTGGTGAATGTGACCCAGTACCGGCCCAACTCATCATGAACTTGGTATTATCGCAGTCGCAGCAAGCGGCTGCCAACAGTGGTCATGAGAATGCTCATGATGTCGTCATCGCAGCAGGAAGTCTTGCAACACCAGCAGCAGCCGCAGCCGCAGCCGCAGCCGCAGCCGCAGCCGCAGCCGCAGCCGCAGCCGCAGCCGCAGCCGCAGCCGCAGCCGCAGCCGCAGAAGCAGCAGCAGCAGCAGCACAACCAACGCCAGTAGAACCAGCGACAACAACAACAACAACAACAGCAGCAACAACGGTGCCCGACTCCTCGTTCCGACAATTGCGATGTGCTTTCACACGCATTGCTAGTTGCCAGTGCTATGTACTCGTAGTATAGTGGGCCATAAAATTGGAAGAGGGTTTTGTGCTATATAGGGACAGTAGGGTGATACTATTGCTAAACATTCAGACACCTATGTTACCCGAACCCTAAGCCTGAACACTAAGTCCCAAACACTGAACCGCTATAGCCATCCTTCGTCTGATCTGGTTAGCATCGGCCTGCGCTCGTTCAGCAGCAGGGCGAAGGTGTTCGTGAGCGTCGGCCGGCGACTCTTCCTTCCACAAAAGGGGGTTTAGGGTTCGCTTCAGGGATCTATTGGGGCTACTACGGGGCCTTTAATTCAGGGGTAGTTTACGAACGGCCCTTCCGGCCCCCCGGCCTGAGCATGTGTTGGATGCAATGATGCAATCACGAGCGGCTTGCCCCACAGATTCTGGAAGACTATCCATCCCCAAAGACTTGAATGCACATAAATAGACAGACAAGACACACACACAATATATATATATATATATGTTGTCTGGGTAGCCGGTTCTTCTGCATGCACTTGTCCAGCCTATGTTTTTGCAAGCTTCAAACCTGTATCGCCCCTTGAACCTTAACCAGTTAAGCTATGGCCTAGCCGCCTAGCCCTGTAGATCGGCAACAAACAGAACAATAATAACGGTATTCAAATCACAATATTGCTGATAATAGTAATAATTTAGAATTACTGGCAATATAACAACAATATAATAATATTAATAATACTAATACTAATACTAATGCTAATGCTAATGCTAATACTACTACTAATAATAATAATAACAGTAATACAATAGAAACATAAAAAAAAACTCTCTGGCCAGGCCGGGAAGGCCTGGCATCCTGGCAGAAGAGGCGGAGCTTGTCGAGTTGATCGCCGTTGAAGCGCTCGTTGCGGTCGTGGTCTGCAAGCCGATGGCCCGGGAGTTTAGGGCTTAGGGGGTTTAAGGGTTTAGTGGGTTTAGGGTACAGGGGTTTTGGGTTGAGAGTTTAGGGTGGGATTTTTGTGGAGAGCCGCGAAGGCTTTGGCTGTTATCCTCTATCCTTTGTAACCGTGGGTGGGTCCACACAGTGATATAGCAATGTAGTATGTTGGGAGATTGACTTGTACAACGCAAACACACTGCAGTATCGAACAGCAGAGTCACCGTTGCAAACAGGGCCGCATAAGGAAAGGTCTGGCCAGCAACTGGTCACTCGTTTCGGCACTTCTCAAGACAAAGCCGCGGCTAAATCGACCTAAAGAGTTGAGAGATGCGCAAATCTTGGCGGCTGTCACTATCTGTACAAGTTGTTGTGGCTATCTTGATGTGCGCTGACATCGGCTCGCAGCTCACACGAACCTTTGGAATCAAATCCTGGCCATACCCATGGCCACACAAGGCGAATCATACCTTTCCCTCGCCTCAGTGCAACAGTAGTCAGTTCATCGCATGCTGGCAACCCACATTCTTCGAACGTAACCGCAATGCACAGCACGGAGACCTAGAAACACTCGCGAGTCTGACAAGCCCTTGACACCGAACAGTCCTAACACTCGACACACCTGACGCCTTTTAGCTATCTTTGCTTAGCTTAGGATGTTTCATAAAGTGTTCTGCCTTGCCCTCGTCGTAGATGATCTTACAGTACAGCTATGTCTCTATATGCATTACATACATGTATGTATGTATGTATGCATGTATATATGTGTGTATATGTATGTGTATGTGTATGTGTGCGGAAATATACAGAAACCGCACTCTCCTCCGGCCTTTGGGCTGGAGGAAGCGGCAGTTTCGCCCCAAGACCTGGCGCAGGGTTTGGGGTTGAATTACAAAACAGGATACAAAACAGGAGAGCGATTTCAGAACCGAAGCCTAATGTCGCAAACATTGCAAACACTCCACCGACCAATCAATCAATGAATCACTGAATCAGTCAACGTCTCACACTTTTGGCTTCTGCGGGCTTTGGGTTTTGGGCAATGTGGCCCCGCGCGCGCGCGCGCGCGCGCGTCCAAGCGGATTCGCAGGATCTAAGCCAAAAGCCCCAAACCGAAAACCTTAAACCCAAAACTCCCAAAACCCTAAAACTTAAACCCTGGTAAAACCATGTTAAACCCCTGAGCCCTGCACATTTTAACGAGATCCCCTGAAGAAGAAAGACCCGCTGGGGCCCGTGGCCCACTCGCGCTGGTAGCCCGTCTGTTCTTCGAATCCGTGGGAGATCCAGACCAGGGGATAGTCCTGCAAAGCCAAAGAGGGTTTAGGGGCTTAAGATTCAGCCAGGTAGGCTTTAGGGGTTCAGGTGTTTCGGGTGTAGGGAAGTTTACGGAATGGGGTGGAGGGTTCAGTTTGGAGCCGGTTGAAAGGTTTAGAGGTTTGGAGTTTGGGGAAGTTTTGCGATTGGGGCTTAGGGGTCAGAGTTGCTGGGTTTAGGGTACAGGGCTTGAGGCAGAGTTTAGGGCTCAGGGTTTAGGGACTTAGGGCAGTCCTACAGATTCAACCCCAGATAGCGTTGTCCGTCAGCTTGTATACGGGTTTCATGACGGTCCTCTTCTGGAAGGGCTTTATGAAGGCTGTCTAAGGTGTTTCGACGATTGTACTGCTACGGGGCCCTAAATCATCTGGGAAAGTTGCTTTGGAGTAGGTACCTCCATACAGGTAGGACGAAAAGGGTAGTTAAAGGCTTCCAGAAGTGCCGCCTAGACAAAGCCTTACAGCAGCTGCAGGACATAAATGGCACTAGCTGTTGAGATGCCTTTTGCTAATTACCGTTCTTGCGGGAGCCACATCAGCCAGAAGCACGAGAACAACATGTGCAGGGGGGGCATACTCGGGAAGCAACTCCAGAGCTGAAACAAGCCAATATCACTGGGGTCCGCCAACCGTCATGAAGTTGTTGGGCTACTACTGCTACTGCTTCAGGGCTTAGCTACGACAGCTAGCACTGCACCACACTGTCTTCTACTGCTGCTACGGCGACTGCTGCTGCTGCTACTACTACTGCTGCTGGGTCAAGGCGCACGCAGGAAGAGAAGGCAACGAGATGGCGGATCGGCTTGCTGCTGCTGCTGCTGCTATGACTGCTATGACCACAAACAATGAGAAACCACAACGGTCACAAGTGAAAGGGTTAAAACTTCGGATAACGATGATGTTGCGCATAATGCACGAATGGCAAAGGGTACCCGGGCGAGAGGCCGGGTGTGGCTTCTTGAAGCTCTGCACCGTATCAAGTGAAATGTCGGCACTCGGAACTTCTGAGTCTACTGTAGGTCCGGAACAAAAGCAACCTACCAGAACAGGTATTTAGCATGAATAGAATATTGATGCAATGCTGTGCTTTCTCCTGGCCCATTACTACCATGCGGTCTCCGAGTTGTACTCGCTAGAGAGCATGAGCCATGCTTTCAAGCAGCGTCGCCTCTCCCGTGGGATCAGCCACGGCCATGACGACGTCATCCTCTGTGCCCTCAAAAGGCCCGGGAGGTTGCTGAGATTTGGGAGTTCTTGCAGCAAGGATCCTGCAATGACTGATCGAATGTACCGTAGGGTCTGTGTTTATTGGGGTTCCTTCTCTTGTGAAACTCTCATATCGCCCCACCCCAGCCTTCGAGCCATGTCAGGGCTTCGAAACTCGAAGGTTGGTTTGAATGGATCTCAGAGGATTCTGCCCCGGGTTCATGTTCCACTGCAGGAAGATAATGGGTGTGGGGGTTTCGACTTCCCAGCCCTCTTGAGTCTGCGGCTTTAGGTTTGAGAAAGTGGAATGACATGACATGGCTCAAGTTTCAAGTTCGGCCCAGACCCAATCTCTTGAAAGTCGAAACGTCCTGCCACCCCACAACCACACACCCCGAGTAGACCCAAGCGAAAACCCTACAGACGGGTAAAGGGGTGAACCCTAAAGCCTAAACCCTAAACCGTGAGGCTCCAAACTCAAAGCACTGTATGTCCCAAAGCCCAGAAACCCTAAACTCGGAAAGCTCCCTGCTACGCACCCTGCCTTTCCAACCCAGTCTGGTCGCTCCTTGGCGTTCGATCCGTGGGATTTTGGTTTCCTTGTAGAGCTCCGTTTTAAGGCCTAGCATTATAAGAAGTTCTGTAAGGAGCTGTAGGGTTGTAGGGCCTATAGGGTCTTAAGATCTCATGGATGATCTCTATATGCTTATGTAAATGGTTGTTAATAAGGTTTACATAGGGCTTGATCTAGCTTAACTATGTGAAACACACTTCAAATAATCAAAATTGAGTCCATTTAGTAGTGTTTGGTAAGGTCAAGCTTGCACAGGGTTTGCCACAACCCCCCCCCCCCTCTCAAAAAAAAAGTGCTGGGAATCACGGATGTAAAGGGGCCTTCCGACATTGCGGGTTTTTCGTCAACTGAGGACAAAGGATACTGGGGCTTTCAACACGTGAGGCTTTGAGGTTGCAGCGAGCCCTGACAACAGACAGAAGAGCTCATGATCCTAAAAGTAAAGGACCGCAGTTCGTAGCTGGACGTCAGGATGTCAACCAACCTGAGCCCGAAGATGATACCGGTGACTCACCCCCAGATCTTCGCAACAGCCTGCAACTCAAACACCCGACATTTGTTGAAACGTGAGGATGTTTCAACGTTAGTCGTGTGTGTTTTGAGTAGATAGCATCCCCAGTATGTTACATCAGCAACCGTCCACCCTAGGAGCCCTGTGCCCCAAACCAACAACACTCTGCGCACAGGAAATCACTCCAAGTCTCGAGGAGGCGCCGCACATCCTCCTGCACGATCTGAAGCAGCGGCTGCAGATCCTTGGAACAACTCGGGTCGGGTTATGGAGATGCCTGAAAGAATAATCGTTTCTGTTTGTGCTACTCACAAGAAGGATCCCACTATTGGGTCCCTTGTTGGTCCGGAGCTCACATTGAGGATGGACCTCGTTGCGAAGGGCGAACCAGTAGCACTCTAGCAGCACTACTTCCCACGAAGACGACGAAGCTCCTGAAACCCTGAGCCCGCAATACTGGGTCCTAAACCCTAAACCCTAAACCCTAAGACCCCTGAGCCCGCAATACTGGGTCCTAAACCCTAAACCCTAAACCCTAAGACCTGTGGGAAACCTGCAAAGTTCTTAGGTCCCTCGCGCCGGATTGCTTGAAGACATGGGCCTCGGAAAGGCCTGCCAGAGCTCTGGGGTGTCGATATTATCCTTCTGCCTGTTCTTGCCAGCCCCAAAGTGCTTCAAGGGCTTAAGGAGTTTTGCGCTTTAGGTTGAAGGAAGTCACGTTGCGGAAGACCTACAGAAAACCATCAGTGATCAATGAGCTCCATAAGCTTCATCATGTGTCGGCAATCTGATACCGTGCTTCGTTGCAATTGCTGCAGCAGCAGCCGAGGGGCTGCCGGGGCTGATTTGGAACCCACAGAGCCCAACATACCCCTGTTTTGAGGAATAGACTAGACTTTAAACTATAGGGACCACAACCCTAAACCCTAAACCCGAAGTATAGGGACCTCACTATTATGGTTTACGGCATGTTCCTGAGTTAGGGGGCTCTGTGGGAAGATGATGCGAGGCAGCGGCGGGTCTCAGCTTGATGGTTTAGGGTTTTAGGGGTTTAGGGATCTAGGGGTTTAGGGGTTGGAAGTTTAGGGTTTGAGGGGTTTAAGGGTTTAGGATTTAGGGCCAAATTTTTGGCAGAAAACCTGCTCAAGACTCAAGAGTCTACAATTGCCTTCCTCGCCCTTCCGAAACCACCCATGTCTATGTGATAAAACCTTACCCAGGACTCAGCCCAGACAAGAAGCGCATGCACAAAGCACGGTCGACAAACTTTCTATGGTTCTTGTTTGTAGTTCCACTGGGCTCGGCTTCGTGATCATGCAGGCATGGAAGTGATCCCTTACCATCCCGGCCTATCTTGGGCACGAAGAGGTCCCCCACGTAGTCCTGGGGTTCTTCTCTTGTTTGGACTTGTCACAACTTGAACTCTCATTTTCTTCAAGAACATGCTTGCGCAACACTGGCCGTGGTAAGCCCAGCTCTTGGCGTAGGACTTCTCGTCCCGCTGAAATTGGTCTTCCGGTACTTGCACACCGACTACTGCGCAAAACCGGTGCGGGTCCTCACAAGTTCGCAGGAAAGCTGCGAACTGCATGGAGTAGTGCTCGCAGGCCTTCAACATTGCTGCGCAGGCTGGACAGGCTACAGTAAAAGTCTGACTGCGGAAACAATGCTTTGCATGTACTGCGAGGTCTTGCTTTCACCTGAAACTCCTTCCATCAAAAACCTTGCAGGACAATCGCTCATGACCGCTGCAACTAAACGAAGGCCTTGGGTATGCCAACGTCTGTGATCGTCTTCACGAAGGGGTCCTGTCAGGTCTGCTGACGCTGACAATAGTTGTCACACTGACACTGATGGCGGTGCTGTGCTGACAGTGGGACTTAGCGCCTGTTTTTTTAAATAAAAAATGGCTTTGTCATCACCATCATCGTCGTTGCCACCATCAACAGCATCATCATCACCATCATCGCCATCACTATGATCATCATAACAATCATCAGGATCATGCGCATGATCATTGCAATGGCCTTAAAATCCCAGCATGATCACGATCATCATCACCACCCTCACAATCACCATCGTGATCGTCATCATCACCATCATGATCGCCACCATCACCAACACCAATATCACCCCCGTCATCGTCATCGTCATCATCACCACCACCATCATCATCGTCATCACTGCCACCACCATGCCACCATCCTCACCAGCATCATCGTCACCTCAGCACACCTGCATTACCTTCGCCATCCACATGTCGTCACCATCATTGACAAACTCGTCACGCAAAACCTCAAAGTCCGTAGTCATCGTCGCCATCACCGTCACAATTATAATGCTCAATGCCGTCATCATCTTCCAACGCCGCATCATCAGCAATGTCACGATAGTAACTATCATCAGCAGCAGCACCGTCCTCAGGTTATACCGTTATACCATTTCCAACATCGCCTTCAACAAGTTGCGGCATCAACATCGTACTCGTCCTCACATCACCATCGTTGCCATAGGCATCATCAACATCAAGAACAACGATGGCAGTAATTCTTCAACAGAAAGTCCTCCCGCTGCTGCCCGAGGAAGACCGCCCATCCTTCCAAAGCCTCACCCACTAGCAGAAATTACGAATAGTAGTGGTCGACGACAGTTAGGAGAGACGTGGCCACTTGCTGCGAAAAGAGTCTGCAACAATCTCACCGGGGCGGTGGCCAAACCCATCTCATCCTCATTCAGCTCAGTGATCTGCAAGGAAGGATGCACCGGCATCAGGCCCGGAAAAACAGGGAACCCCTTGCCAGTCTGAATCGCTTCCCTCTTGACAGCTGCTGGTTGCTGCTGCTACTCTCTACTTACCGCTCTCGCCAGGATGGGTCTTGCGGCTTGTATCTTTTTGAAGCTGAAGCCAAGCACATTTCACGAGTCCCGAAGTACGGTATACACGAGTCCCGAAGTACGGTATACACGACGCAGACCTGAAGTGGTACCTTAGTCAAGAGCAGTATTTCGAACCCCGCAATGAAAGCTGCACCCGAACAAACCCGAACAATGCCGTGCAGAACCCAAGGAGGGGAAGCAATCAGACCGCCTCAAACCCAAACCCTGAATCCCCGTTTTCCCAATGTCTCACTATAGTCGAAGCCATCAAGATGGAACATGGATGCAGGATGATTAGCTCTGCATTTCCCTTTATGACGGCATAATGATGTTCCAACTTTCTGGCTTCTGGTACAAGGCGCCTGGTGGGACTTCAGGACGGCCGGCATGTCCAGCTTGATCGGGTTCAGGATCTCGGTGCTTTTGGCAAGGCGCTTCGGGTTTGGGAACTGAGGGTTCTGGCAGCGGCATAGGGTTTGGGAGCTTAGAGGCTTTGAGTTTAAGGATTTCGGGTTTAAGGTTCATGCTTTCGGATTTCGGGGTTGAGGGCTTCAATGCTTGCTAGGAGTTTGGGTTGAGGGCGTCTTAGAGTCTTAGGGTTCAAACGTTTAGGAATCAGACTGTAGGAGGGGGAGTTTATGGTAGGGGCCCGATTTGAGGTTCCCGGCTGTTGGACTTCCGGAGGCAACAACTACCAGGCGCCGACTGCGGCTTATCTTGAAAATGCCGACTTCTGTGTTACCTTTCGTACTATTATAGCCGCGGTTACATGTGTAGGCAAAGACCGAATGCGACCGTATGCTATCACTTCGACTTGTATTTCTGCTTCGTCTCTCTACTTTCATTGCTGTTGATCCGTCAAGAATGTGATGTTGGAAAGTGAAAAAATCCACCAGCCGTTCCTTAATGCATGCAGCTCTCGCGCTTGTTCTATCAGCCCTCCCCAGAAGCCTGGCCTTCTCTATATCATCAAGAGTCGTGTCTTCAATAGCAAGCTGTGAAGCCTCCTCACTCAGCTGCCCTTGTAGTCCTCTTCCCATTACATGCATAGATTCATCGCAAGCTCGCATCAGACGTACCGTATGTTCTGCGGAGCTACAGTTTCTCCGCAGTGTTCCACCGCAGATCAAGTGCCCCACTGACAGCAAGTACCCTTTGTCGCTGCGAGGCTCCACGAGGTAGAACCTTGGATTACACGTTTTGCCCGACCCGCGCTCTTGCCTCCGGAGACAGACCCACCCGGAGTGTCTACACGAGTGCATAACACAGAGGCGGCTCAAAGGGAAACCTTCTTGTAAACTCGCGGTAGGCCATCCACTGGGTACATAGTCTAGTAGCAGTATAGTTTGACAAACATATACCCCACCAGAGTGAATTTACAATGCGAATATCGCCTTGTAGCCCCCCTAAAACCATAGTCTACCTAGACTCTCGGAGTGTTCTTGGACCATGCACGCCTGAGATTGTCGACCGCTTGCGGACTGCTGAAAAAAAAAGCGGTTTGGGGTCTCGGGTCCTTGTGGTCCGTGTCTCAAACCACACGTTCTCCAATGCGAAGGCCGCCTTGAAGACTCCCTAAGCCTTGCTCCCCACTTGGAGGTTCATGGGTAGTTATAAGTGGGGTTTTAGTTGGGGTAACTATAGTTATAGCCCATAGTAAGGGACTTATAACCCTACTTATAACTACAGCTTGCTGCTCTCCATTCCCGACCCCACGATCTACAGGAAGCAGCCATGAGCCAGTCTGGGTACCTCAATCTCCCGAACTGAGGGCATGACGTCTGCTGCAGAGCAAAGAATCGAGATCCGCCCCTCTTCTCGAGGAGCAGGAGACTCACCTTGGAGAAGGGTCTAGGATGTTGACCGGTCTGGCGCAGGGTTTGGGACCTTTCTGGGTTAAGGGCCCTTGGGTTCAAGGGACAGCTGAGTCTTTGGGCTCTAGGGTCGATTCTCCGTGATCCTGGCTTGCATTGTATCGTAGTTGACATCGGCATAGACATCGACAAAAGTATAAACAGACTTTGCTTGGTTGGCCATGTTCTGCCTGTATTTAATTACATCTAGATTCTAGATCGCCAACGTTTGCATTTCACGTGTACATTTTGCGGCTTTTTCCTCCATCATTTCTTTGAGGAAGTGCGCACGGGTGGGTCAAACCTGAGATAGTTTGTCGTCGGCTACCAACAGAATCTGGGACTCAGATTCCTCTGCAAGTATGCAATGTGCTTCTTCTGGACCCCTCTTGTGGTAGGTCCCACCCGGTGCCTCTGCAGCACGGGCTCACCCCTTTAAGTTGTAAAATGTCCACTGGTTCGATGATTTATGATGATTGCGGCTGTCAGGAGAAACACAGTGCTTGATCAAGTCACTGAGGCAAGCCGTTTCAAAGAGCGCACGCATTGTGAATGATCAGTGGGAGTGAATGATCCCAGTGCAGGAGTTCGGGTGGCGGGATAGTAGGTAGGGACGACCCGCTAGGGTTCTTTTGGAGAAACACGGCGGGATATTGTTGGCTCTGCACACCACCTGCTCTTTCAGCCCGTGAAAGAAGTGGTGGCATTCAGGATTAGCTCTGGACTCAAATACAACCCATACAAATTACTAAGTGGGAGACCCTGACCCACAAAACCCAAATCCTAAACGCCGAAACCACAACCCGGGCTCTGCACTGTGCACAGTGTCTCTCTTTTCTTTCAGATCATCTTGTGCCGCAGTCGAAGCGCGCACTCTTCACGGAGTAGCCGCCTGCGGAATGCAAGTTGGAGGGAAAATACACAAGCACCATAAACTCGGGGTGGCACATGCGGGCAACAGTACTTAGAGTCACACACGTCAACATCGGGATGCGGATGTGATCTTCATCACCACCCGCCGTCGTCAACATCTGCCAATTTACTGCCATCACCATAACAGTGCTGCTGCGTCAGCCGTTAGCAAAGGACACAACCCATCATTGCCACGAATGGCACGAATCGTTGTTCGTAGCTTTGTTGACCCGAATCCGGTGCTATGCGCTGGGGCCAGCTGTGTTTCACGTTCATTGCTCACAGCATCGATGTGACCTCTTGAGTTCACTTCCGCGGTATCCACGACGCTCTACGATGCTGTTGCGAAGCTTGTAACTTTCCAAATCTAGGTTCACTTCAGCTGAGGCACACAGAAACTTCTCGAAAATGCCCTTCTTTTTCTTGGTGCTGTGTGCGAAGTGCGCCAATGACACCGTTCCTGAGAAGCAAGCTACAGACATGCATTGCCGCCAAACTAGTTCAGGTTGCAAAGCTGGGCGGTTTTCGAAGGATTTTCAGCCGTGTCACTGCCCGGCCCACTGCGCACAGCATGCCACCAGTAAAGCCTCAGCATGCAACTGCAACTTCAATTATGCCGGATGGTGCTCAGTGTCCTTGCAGAATACGGGATGGTAGCATGCAAAGCTTATTGACGTGGTCTTGAACTGCGAATAGCCCCTTGCAGATGCAAGACCTGTCTTCTACTGCAGCGTAACAGCATGCGCACTAAACCGTCGTCCACCACCGAAAACTCTTACTGTAAAGATGTGCGTAAAATTTTCTATTCGGCAGCCACAGAGCGGCACATAGAGCCACTGTCCAGATCGGACTCGGCAACGCCGCGGCACCGCGAAGCGAAAGTAAGGATAGTCCTCGTCAACATGGAGAACCGAAAACTAGCCGCAACAGAAGCGAAAGTGCAGCAAGCAACCTAGAAGCAGCATACCACTGCAGCATGCCGGCCACATGCATCTGCACAAATGGCTCCTCGAAGACGGTAGGGGACCTTCGCACGAAAGAGGACAGTGTGGCAGTGTGGTGGTAGTGACTGGTAGTGGCTCATGGGAGCAGACACGGTTCGTTGATGGTGGAATTCAATTGAACTGGGCATTGTGCTGCCAAGAATCTCGACGTTTATGGGAGAGGCATTTCCATGTTCATTGTTGCTGCCGTACAGCCTGAGAGGTGATGTGCAGGCGGGAATCGAAGGCATGAGAGTGTGGCTGCGTATACATATGCAGGGCAAGCTACAGTTGTGCGGCTTGGAATGGATCGTAGAGCCAAAAGTCCTTCATCCCATCCAACACCTCGCGACACGACCACTAAGATCGCACGGGAATCGCGCGAGGAATTGGGCCCTTCCTTCGGCAAATGCCCGCCTGAACTAAATTGTCAGCAGCATCATAGTGCAGGTAGAGGGAGGGACCTTTCAGGCACGAGCAACACAAGCTCAAAGCAGATGAGGTCGGTAGTTGACGATGAAAACATGATAAGTGAGATATGATGTACCTGGCTCGCCACCACCGCCATGGTAGTAGAGGTATGGGGACGCATCAAGGCTTCCCCGAGTACCATTCCTTGCGTGAGAGTCATGACAGTAACAAGTGTCATCCTAGGCTGGAGGGCTTGCTGCACATGCGTCTTGAAAGCCGGCTGTGAAGTACTGGGTCTTGAGGCAGCTTGCTTTGAATTTGTTTAATACGGGGTGACTGTCGGCTGCACCCTGCCTTTGAGAAAGAAATTCATGGCCTAACTGTCCCATGGCAAAATGGGAGCTAGGATTAGGGGGACCCTTGGGGATATAGACCCTCTCAATAAGGTCCCTTTTAAGAGAGCTAGAAGTAGGGTTCAGAAGGGGTACCCTGTAAGGGGTACCCCTAATAATACTACCTACAAAAAACAGAACTGACAGGCGTCTGCCAAGCTTCTGCCAGCTTCCCCTGAGCGATGGCACAACAGTCAGGGAGACCGAAACACTCACGTCTACCACAGTCAATCAGAGTACTTGTACCTCGAATGAAAGTTGCAACACAGCGCAAACTGTTCAAGGTCTATGGGACGCTGCCAACCGCCTCAACCGCATCGTTTCGCTGCCGGTCGCATCACCCTAAAGGCCCTGCGCTTGTCTCGGACAGCCACCTGCGGATACTCTCGATTCTGAGGGCAGCGCCGTCAGCGACGAGGATCCTTCCAGCTCGGGCAAAGAATTCGGGATGCTCACCTGAACAAAAATCAAAGAGCACAAGCTCAAAGGCGGTAGTTTGAGTCCCTCCTTTGCCCCTGTTTTGCTTCTAAACGCCCCAATCCTCAACACCTGCAGCGACACAACCCAGTCTGGCAACAAAGGAGCAACAATTGGCACCATTCGCCGGGGCTTCTTGCTTCGAATTCTTGAAGAAGAAGCAGCGGACCCATATAAACACAAACATGAAAATACAATTTCCGCCCACCCCCAAGATTGAACAATAAAGTAGCGCCATCATATACCAAAACCCAACAAGCAACCCGACTTCCTAAATCATCTCCCGACAACGCTTGAGTCACCAAGTCCCGCCTGCGCGGCATAGAAGTGTCCAGCCAAAGGCCCTCCCGACAGTGCTTCCGCCAGCGTCGCATTGTGTTTAACCGCCTTCTTGGAGACTTGGCCACCTGGTACTGGCAACAGGGGCCTTAGCTTGAATGATCAGAATAGGGCCGATCTCGCAAGACTGTTGGTAATTACATGCAGTTAATCAATCACGATTGCCATGTATGCCCCACGTTACAGCAAAGTAACGCTGCTCTGAATATCGATGCTCTTGCTGTCCCTGCCATTTGTCAGTATTGACTTAAACAGTATCACTCCGCAGTGGTCGTCCAGGCGCGACAGTATAAGTACTGGGAGTAGCAATGATACTGGTGATGGTAGGTGATGGCAGTAGTCGTCGTCGTAGTGGTGGTGTTGCGAGTATCGTGGCCGTCACCAACAGACGTATACCTTGTCGTGTTATCATTGCAAGTACTGGGTCGGTGGTGGGGACTACTTCCCTACCAGTAGTATTGGATGTTGTGCCGTGCCGTTGTCTTCGACTGCCAAAGCCTAGGAGCCAAACTGTCAGGCCAAGACTGTGGGTGCCACAAGGAGCCGCAGTACATTGGCCATGTAATCAATCCTATGTCATCGTCTGGGAATGATAACATAACGCAGCACCCCAAACAGCTTTGATGCGATTCTGTCTATTATTAGCGCTCCCACGCTCTACCTCGCGGCCTAATGCTGACACTTGCTGGCCACCTTGAGACATCTGCCTGCCGAGCAAGACAGCTCACAGGCTCACAGATCTGGGTTTAGGGACTGAGGGCGGATGGCACAGTACGGTTGCCGACTTCTTACACGGGATATCATTGTGGACTACACGGCTTAACGGCAAACCTTGTAAGACATCAACCTGTCTGTTAAGCCGAAGCAAGCGCACCCTACACCGTTTTCAACCCTTAACCTGTCCTCAGCTCCACCGCGCGGTGTCCCAGAGTTCGCAGCTTGTCATCAGTTAGCCTTCAGCAAGCAGTGCCGTGCTAAGGCTAGCACCCAACAAATCACAATCATCACACCCGCTGAAGATGACCAGGATAGGGAGATGCGTGCCGCTCTGCACCGCGGGTGGACAAACCAAACTTTTGCTGCCAAATGGGTCTTGGAGCCCAACGCCGCCAACTTAAAATTTCAGGTCTGGAATAAGCAGTACTGCTGCTGCCATTGCTGTTGATGGATGCTGATGGCTCTGACTTAGGAAGCTCACGGAGGCTGAAAAGGTGCCGCGCAGCGCCTGCAGCGGTGGACCTTGGCCAGGATCGGGGCTCCTGTGGTTTTGTTTTCCTGCTCCATGGGAGTTGGCTTTGGGGGCGAGGCGGTTTAGAAGCTCTGGACCTCGCCGTCGATCCAGCCTCCTTCATCCCCGTCCTTAGCTGAATATCTGTCTGCCGGGGCAATTGCTGCGGAGAAGGCAGCCGGGTGACCAGCAGCCCCGCCGGTTCGGGTTCCGGCTCGGGTTCCCTGTCTTCTCTGGGCCTTGGTTCGAT